GTTTCGCTCGCATCAAGAGATCAAGATGGCGGCCCGTCGAGCTCAACGATCGACATCTACGATCTCACGGAAAAATAGGGGACTGTGAACAGTCTATTTGCCTTGCAGTTTTCGCTGTTAAGGTTTCAGCTAACGTGCGTCTGGGATGTTGATCAAAGTTTCGAGATACCGTTCAGAAAATAACATTATGAAGGAAAATTTTGTGCTTGTTACTTAGTCGAACCCTGACGAGATATCGTCCTCTGCTTTATCTGTGTAAGCAACATATCAAACCATGTCTACTTACTGACAGTTTCATTTCCATTGGTTGGGTCGATTTTGGTGTGTTCAGTGTTATAAATGGGCAAAGCTTCGCAAAATTCTAAGATCTCCTTTGTAAGAAGAAGTCTGTTAGCCTGTCCATGTATCATCACAGCATTCGACTCTGATACGACAGGAGGATCGTCAGCCAAAGAAGATACCTGCAGAATGGAAAGAGGTTGAAAAAATTTGATCTAACAGCTAAGCAACTTAAAGCGGCGTAGGATTAGTTCCGCGCCGCCATTTTTTTTTTTTTTTCTTCCTGTAGTAACAAATGCATGCCTTCAGTATTTCACGTATTTCAAGTGAAAATGAACGGTCAACAGGCTGGTTTTAAATGATTAGTTGGAAGTCATTTATCCGATTTCAGCTCAAAGCAAACAGAAATTTGAAATTAGGAGCCCACTCGAAGTAGCACGATATTTTCCTCTGTTTCTCTGTGTTTTTCTTTTGAAGAGATTCATGTGACGATCTTATATAAAGCTTGGGTAAATGATTTTAAAAAATAGTGCACCATGTGATACATTTATAACATTTATGGCATCTGTGACATTTATTGAGCTAGCAGTATTCCTGACTTCCTTCCACAATGGCAAAGCACAGTTAATTGAGGGAAATGGTTAAGTATCCCAATAAACACCACAGAAACAAATAAACAGGCTAACATTTATGTTGAAAGGTCCCTGGCCCTACACATCTCTTGTCTTATGCTCATTGATTATGCATGATTACATAACCGTCGCTTCTATTGGCTAGTTGCTTGAACCCACATAACTTTTTTCAGGTTTTGTGCGAGGTCAACCAACCCCAAAATAGCCAACAAAAACATTCAACAAAGAGCTTTGCCGGTTTCATAACCATTTCTCTCTATTAACTATGGGTAAAGCTAGAGTATTTACCCGATCGAGATCCGCTTTCAGTTGCGCTGGTGGCGAGATAGATAAGTCCAATTTTGAGATGTAGCAGACCTTTCGAGACAGAATCCTGGTAACAGTGAGACGCTGTAGATGCAACATTTATAAAAGTCAATGCTGGAGGTTTTTCTAAGCGAGGGATATTTAACTTTTTAACAAGCTTTTGGGACCATGTAAGATACCAGTTTAAAGCAGAATTTAAATCGCAGGGTTTCAGAGTTTCAATAGTCCCACTAAGTGGATAATAACTTTTATTAGACAATATGAAAAACTTTGGATAAAGCCCTCAAACCTTACCTTTTTAAAGTCATGGTAAAAATCAGCGCCTTCAACGTTGTTGTGAGCAGGAACTCGGAAAACTTCGACGTCTTGTTCTTCATCGACTTCGATTCTCTCTATGAATTTTGTTCCGTTCTCTTCAAGTGCCATTTGATAGCGAGCAACCTAAAGAAACAATCGACAGAGATATTTATGATTTTACGCCGAAATTCATCTTCGATTATTTATAGGCTCCTCCTGGGATGTATTTTTCAAAACTGAAACAATCTTTGAAGTAAACTTTTTTGAAAATGACATGACAACAAAAAATAAACGGCACGCAATGCATGCATACGGGATGACCCTTTAGATTGTCTGAGTCTGAAGATCTTCCAGTCTGCCATTTATGAAGTTTGATATCGGAATCTAGTTGTAGTATGTAACAATGTGGTCATTCGTTATCTACCTTAATGTCTCATATCTCATGATAATTAAGCAAAAAATTTTAGGAAAAATTATTTTTGATATATTTGTACTTTTATTCTGTTTGCGGTACACTGAAATGGTTAAAAATTTTTGATTATATTTGAAAGGATCACAAATCTTACCATCGTTGTAAACAACAAGTGTCTTGTTAAATCAAGAGGACCGTAGGTGTGTTTTTCTAGATAGTACATAACCCAGTTGCTTCAATATCATTCCGGATTTGTACAATCCTTGTCAACAAAAACTTACTCTAAATGTGTGATGGTTGAATAAAACAATCAAATCACTTCAATCTATAACAATTCCAGGCTCTGGCAACTTTTATTTCTGGACTCTGCTTTACTACTTTCGCTCTATTTGGATAGTTAAGTATCAATCCATATGGTCAATATAAAAAAAAAAAACTAACGCTTGTATCCAAACAAGATACAAACAGGTTTTCGTATATTAAAGAGGATTGTAAATAGACAAGTGCAGTTGTCGCTTCCATTCCTGCAGGATGCCTAGGATATTAAACGATGAGTCAATGTGTCATATATTAAGCTACATGTATGAATTGCTAAAAAGGCAGAATATTGATATGAGATTCGTTGGAAACTGTGCTTGAGAGTGGAGTTGGATATGAGAAAGTCCCCGTAAAACAACTTGTTCGACCCCAACAAGTCAGCTGTTTGTAGCATTTCTGCTTCATGTAGTTTTGACTTGCATAAATAAAAACCGAAAAGCATCACAACAACAAAATTATATTTGTTCACTCCCATCGCTTTTCTCTCTTTGAAAAGCAAACTTAAAATAGACCTGAGGGCTGTTCCGGCCTCAAGCGACTTAATTTACTTATTTCCAGGGTGGCTGCTATCTCACACAATTAAGTACAGGGAGAACTTTTATGTCCTGGAGATATACAAGTTTTATCATTGGATCATTTGCTCTTTACTGAAGAAGTACTGTCTGCTTCTAAAATTCAAAAAGATTGGTTGTCTTAGTTTAGGACAACAGGACGATTCCATGGTTATTTTATGAATGTCGAGCCATGAGCAAAGAATGACAGTGTGGTCAAATATTCTTAATCTTTAATGACCTTTGTAATTTAACAACGTAAGATTCCGTTCTTATGGCCATCAAACCTAGTGTTTAATCTCAAAACTCAGTCCTAGAGTATAAACACAACAGTGCTCATATAAAAGAAATTTCAAGTCAGCTTATTTATTTCTCCCGCACGATCTGTGGTATCACTGAGATATCAAGAGAAACACGAATATCTAGTGCTCCTCGGCGCGATGCAGAGAATATTAAAACTTGCCATGGGCGATTACCATTCAACCTAACTTTCCAGAAGCCTTCGAAACTGGCGCAGATCGATGCATGGCGCAAACTTTTCCCGGAAAGTTTTCGAAAGTTTTGGAACTAATCGACAACCCAAAATGCGAGCCATTCCACCGTAAAATTCCGGACATTCTGGGAGGAAAATCAAAAAGAATGTAAATTCCCGCTAATAATGTTCGAAGATTCGAGTATACCTCGCGAGGTTGTCCTCTTTTCCTAAAGTTCCGAAGAATACTGCTCCATTCGTCACTGGAATTTCCCAGAAATGCAAACCGGAGTTTTCAGTGGAAAGGAAAACGTCCAGCAATTAACCAGGTAACATAATTATGCACACTTTTACGCCAATGTTCCTTGTACAAGGCGATTTAATTTTATCTTGAGGGGATATCGGATACTCCATCAGCTAATGACAATTAACGATAGCGAAATTTTTCATCAGAGCTCAAAGCAGACTCTGTATACATGCATAAAATGAATGTGAAACTAACCTCTCCCTGTGTGAAGGGCAGAAGGCATAAATACGCCAGGCCGAGAACTACAATTGCGGAGATCTAGAAAGCGAAACAAGAAAAATGACTAAAATGGAACATTACCCACTAGAAGAAAAGTAAATTAAAACAAGTTACCTTCATGACAAAACTCTATCGGTCGCAGTCGTAGGGTGACTGAGCAGGTAGCGAGCAGACGAACGTACAGCGACACTGCTTTAAGCTTCAGCGCTTGAGAAGTTATGAGATTTCCTGAGTGAGTTTCCATTTTATAGGTTCTTCGAGTAAACATACAGTACAGCCCAAAACTAATGATTGACAGATGAGATCTATTGGTTATTTCTTAGTTCCTTCAGTTTTCTTTTCTTGTATTACTGAAGGAAGTGCAAGCCAAGTTTTCCTCAAGTTACGTGAGATGCGAGACAAGGAAGCTACAGCAGAAAAAGGAAATGTCCTCTGTTGTTTATCTTGCAGGCTGCTAATTAAAGCAGGCATATCAATTACCACCAAACAAGCCATGAAAATAACGGGTATTTTCCTTTGTCACGTGCGATCGCAAAGATATTTTGTTATGCAAACAAAACCTCCACGTTTCATCTTTTAAAGAGGCTGAGCAAGTATCTAAAGAAGTTATTAAGTTATTAAACTTTTTTTTTTTTTTTTTTTTTTGCTTTTGGAAAACCACGTAAGGTCACTTAAAGAAATTTGCGTAAAGCTTTCTTATGCAGCAAACAAATAATGCAGTGTAACAATGGTGAAATTGTACGTTTGTGTAACCGGATTGCACGGTCTTTAGAGCAAATGTTACCAAAAATCAAGTAAAAGTTATGGCACATGTCGAAAAATATCTCTGAATTTTATTCACAAATTAGGAATTCGACCTATTAACTGAAAGGGATTTTTTTTTTTTTTTAAATTGTGTGTTTATTCTCAAATGGCGCTCAAGTCAAGTTCTAACCTGTTTTGGATGGCTGAATACTTTTTCTTTCAAGAAAAAGTATCGATAAGTTTTGGTTCTCCTTTACACCCGAATGCAAATTAAGCTTAGGTTGCTAATTTTAAACCTTTGTGATCGGCCATTTTGACGACCGTCTAGGCGAAAATCGTGTTCGTTTATTTCAATTTTCCCGAATTTAAAGCACTTTGAGCTCAAAGAAACTATATCACGTTTCATATCTACCCAAGGGCTATTTTTGGACGAAAAGAGAGGTAAATCTATTTTTCGACTTCTGCCGTCCTATGCTTGCTAATTAGAAAAACTCACTCTTTAGAGGTTATGCGCCTGTGTAAGGTACACATATTGAGTCAATTTTTTCTTCGTCCATTCTCTCTACAAAGAATTGTTTACAGAAAGGCGATTTGTCTCTAATGAAAAAAAGAAAGCAATTGAACGTGCTCTCTGTCAACGCACCCCGGCCCAGATTGCTGAACTGGAAGGCCGTGACCTAAGTGCAAGGAAATGATGGATTATCATTATCTCTTGTTTTAAGCTAATGGAGAAAAAAAATAAAAAATAAAAACAGATATATCAAATGAACAAGGAAGGGAAGGAATTTGAGCTTCATGTTCTACACATTGACGAAGTTTCCACTTGATATTAGTTCAACTTTACATCGAAGATTGGCTTTTTCGTTTTGCTTGCATGGTGAGGTATTCCTTTGTCGGGAACCTGGCTATATGCGAAACGACATGATCCCACTTGTTTGAGCCACTCACAAAATAAAATGCATTTTACCTCTTCAGTCCTGTCTGTCTTGACGCAGCTGTATTCACATGTCACCCTATCGCCGAGTTCTTTACAATTTTCTGTAGTACCTATGCGTCGTTTTCCTCATAAGTATGGTGCTCTACGGTGCTATATAGAAGCGTGCCGAAGGGCATCGAATTTTCCAGAATTCTTGAAGTTGCTTGAACACATTTTTACTCGCTTTGTTCTCCCTTATGGCTATTATGGAAAACTTGTAATGTAAGCATGGCTTCATGTTCGTCTTGCTTACTGTTGTTCATGGCTTGTAATTTAGTGGGCGCCATAGAACATGCAGTTGGGTCGGCATTGTGACGGACGTGGTGCTATAACAATACCCTATCCTGCTAATTTTATGTTTACCTGTTTAACTTATCGGCTTGATGTCTCAGTATTCTATATCTAGTCAAGACGTTTTGTGCATTGCACGGATAAATCTCAGTTATTTTGGATACTTGTTAACTTGATAACTGCTGTCTTTTCGCCTGCTGAGAATGCAGAAGTAAGTGTAACAGAGTACTTTCCATATATGCAAAATGGATATTTTAGTTTGTTTATAGAGCAAAACACGCGCCGAGGACATGACCTCGTATTAGGGATGTGATATATATAGATATCATCAAGCCAGCCAGGTAATGAGAAATATTTGAACTTTATGACCTGCTACTAGCAATTAACTACAACTGCAAATTGACATTTCCCTTTCGCTATGGAAACCTCTTTCTCCCTCTCTATATGTACTTTCTTTTTAAATGGTAAAATTTCAATGCACATGGATGACATGGGTGATATCAGCTTCGTAAATTTACGGGTCCCAAAAGAAACTGGAAGTAGACGGCTATAACATTTTGTTCCCTCAAAACCAAAGCGTTTTGTTTACGCAAAGTGTTCCATACAATGGGTAAGTTAAAAGATTGTCTTTAACGTGGAAGCTATGGTTTTTGTTTACTGTAGTCTCGGAGGTAAAGTAACAAACAGTTCTTTGATCAGCCACATTGGTTCTCCTTCAAAACGAAATATCCATGCTTATTATTACCAAATTACCGATTCGTAAAACTTTGAACATCCATTTCGTAATTAATTATAAGACTCCAAACGAGACAGCGAGGCTACATGCAAAATTTAAGCCAAAACGATGAGGTACCGGACGGGGTCGGCTGTAAAAGTCTTGTTACACAAATAGAGTATATTCCATGTAGTGTCCTTAGGCTATTTATTATATAAACACCAATGAGAAACCAAACAATTTCACTTTTGCTGCGAAAGGCCCAACATATTGGGTGTCCGGAAAACTCGAATAGCGAATAGCAAATAGTCGCGAATAACGAATAGCGAAAAGTACGAATAGTGCGAATGGTCTCGAATAGTGCGAATAGTGGCGAACAGAAGCGAATAGTCCCGAATAGTGACGAATAGTCGTCAATGGTCACCGCTTTAGTTCAGCACTGATCTGGATTTGTTCAAATTGATCAGTTAGAGCAATAGCGTTTATCTGCGGACGCTGATAAATTCGACCACGTACGCTCGTTGAAAAAAAAAAAAAATACAAATAAAAATGTGAGGCAAGTGGTCTGTGATTATTTTATCAACTGAAAAGACACAAACGAGCTGCTCTGATATCCGGGTTTTCCAGACACTCCGACATATCATGTAACCATAGCAGGGGTAATCTTCTCACTAGCAAAAGATAGCGTGTTATTTTCACGTAGGAAGATATTATGTTTTAGCGCGAAAGCTCACCTAGTATTTCGTTGGTGTTTATATAATAAAGAACCGTATTTTTAAGCACCCCACAAAGACAGATTTGGCTCATATGTAAGCCAGTTTAATCAAATGAGGAAATCTCGATGTACAGTCACGTGTTTGACGCGTTCGAAACGTGCCATTTTGCCAGATGAAATCGACATGTGGCATTCCTTACCTAAACTGATAAAGTCTAACTGGCTGATGAAGATCGCACACATCCTAATTATATATTGCTAATTTTAAAAGTGGTCATGGTTATACTTGGCCTAACCTCTTTAACTTAGCATTATTTCTTCACGTCTCACGGGTTGAAACCATTCACATCAAATAAGTTAGAAGTCGATTCTTGATACTAAAGTTTAGTTAAGTTTCGTTTTCAATTCAGTAAGACAAAATGGAAAAACCTGTTCAATGACGTTAGCTCCAAAATCTCAAAATGGCCTTAAAGAAATTTCATTTCAAGTTCTGCCGCCCCCGTCTCACTATCTCTCTACGTTGTTAATATCCCCTTTCTGTTTGAAACATAAATTGACAACGTGATCAAAATGTAAAGCGATGAGTCACACAAAAGTTTGTGGTTCTAAATTTAAACCTTTTACATTAACAAGGAAGAATTCTGAAGTGTCGACGTCAGTCATAACAGAGTAATATAATCACTCTGATTAGCTACTCTGGTCCTCTCTGACCTCCAAGTATTGTATCTTCCTTTTGTTTTGAACAAGTGAGCACAACAGGAACAACATGTCAGTTAACACGTGTATTCTTCAGCAGATCCCTTTCAGCGACAACGGAAAGCCAGTAAATGAATAAATAAACGAAACACCGTCCCATTGCCAAAGACACAGCGATCCTTAAAACAAGTTAACGGGATAACTGTGTTGAAATCCTCACAGCTCTGCACACGGCGTCTGAGGAAACCTCTTCTACCTACAGGACTCGCACGGAAATGGTGAGTAAAAGTGCAACATTGAGATCATGAGTGTTCTGATGTTCCCTTTCGCGATCGATACTCAGTGAACATATGATTTTTTTCTAGGATTCCAAGCCTGTCTCATTGCTTCTGTTTATGGCCTGCATCACGGCGTGTTGCTGTTGGCCTAGTCCCACAGTCACAGGTATGTTTAGTTAGTTTATTTTGTAGCATGTACCATACGAATTTGTCTTATGAGACATTATTGTAAAGTATAGGGCCCAGATATATATACAACAACCAAGTGATTATCCGAAAAAAAAAATATATAGATGTTTACCGAAAACCTTTCAATAGCAAACACGCGATTAAAATCATTGTCTTCTAGTAAAAGCTCTGATTTTATGAAGCGTTGTTATTTTTGTTGTTGTGGGGGGGGGGTCTTTCCCACAATCATTTCGTACCGTTAACATGCGCATATCATTCCTACGTTGGACAGCCACAGGTAGTTATATCAGGTTGAAAAAGTTGTCAGCAGACTCTAAGGAATATCATTTGGAAAAGCAACGCCAGGCTAGTCCAGATCCTCACCATAACCCCAAAATATGCCACAATTGAAGTCCCTAAACAACCAAGAAATTTCAAATTTTTTACATCGTATTGTACCCATAATGATGGTTCCTTGGATTTGGCAGTCTTGGCTTTACAGACTTAACAGATATGAATTTAAGGACTTTAATTTTGACAATGAGGTCAATAGCTGGAATTCAATTTAAAGTCAGATTCCACCAAACAAGCAAGACATGCCCATACACAATAAAGTAAATTCGTCAAAAATACTAGAAATAGGCTACATCCTGACAATAATGTCAAGATCTATTAAAACAGGCAGACCAGGAGACTGTCTAATTGCTTTTCAATTTTTTTTCTTTAGTTTTCTTCTGATTTTTGTTTGTTCGTTTGTTTGTTTTTGCTCGTTTTGTGTTTTTATTTATTTATTTATTTATTTATCTATTACTTTATTTTTCGGCTTTACCATTTCAATGAATTGGAGGGTCTGGTGGATTTTTTAGCTTCCTTATTTCTTTTGTTTGTGAACAAAAGAATGTAATAGGATACAGCTCGAATCATTTTGTGTCTGACCTAAAATGCTAATGTTACTTGTTACCTGTCGTCCTCATGCCTCTTGGCACATAGGGCCTTTACAGAGGTCCTCTATTTTTCTCGATCAGCCCGGCAACCGTCCTCATTTCATCCCATGAGCTCCACCCTGCCTCTTCACATTCCTTTTCTAACTTAAATTGAAAGAGTAAAAAACGGGCCACGTTATTAATAAAGAAAAAACATTAAGGTCAGCAATTATGGAAATATATTATTTAAAGCGCCTAGATTGACCACAGAACATAGCCCACTTCCTTCTGGACTTTCTAAAGTCCAATTCAAACTGCAATTCATATTATAGAGAGCATTAGTTTCAATATAAAAAAAGTGAGACATACACTTTAAGTTACATACACATACATTACATACACAGTACACCAAGCATATATGATATATGTAAATATTTTGGTTGTCATTCGTATATAGTCTCTTGGCTCCTAAGTGGAACAAAGGCTCGTCCACAGTTTTCTTCCACCGCTCTCTGTCCTGAGCTTGTCGTTCAATTTGGGTCCATCGCAGGCCTATTTGCCGCAGTTCTTGTTCGGCTGATCTTCTCCAACTGCTTTTCGGCCTACCATTCGTGTTAATGCTAAGAAAAAGCCTAATTAAAATAGTATACTCAAATGCATTTACTATGTCTATCTCCATGGTTTGTGCTGTATTTTTAATTTAGCCAAAATGGCTTAAGAACAAAATGTTTTACACTGTGTATATGATACCTGAAACAAACTCATGAGTTTTGTTTGTTTTTTGTTGTCGTTGTGTTTTTTCATTGTTATTGTCTTTGCTGTTTTTTCGTTTTCTTTTCTTTTTCTTTTTCTTTTTTTTTTTCGTCCTTTTCTTGAGGGGGTTGGGGGTAGTTTTGGTGTTCTTTTGAGAATTTGAGATTTTGGATGTAAAATATTTGGAGCTGTCCACGCTAGGTAACCAGAAATGTAGCATACAGCGAAATATTAAACTTCATTGCTGCATGTTTTTAGTACAGAAACAACTACATCGAGACACCTTGAAAATACGAAAGCCAGTAACTACCCACAGCTCGTTAAATGCCTTGAATATCTTTAGCAGTCGTTTCGTGATGAACGCCAGGTTTGACTATACAAAAGCAACGGCTAATTATTACTGTTTTTTACTGTTTAAGTAAGTTGGTTAATTATTGAGAAAGTTCATTATTTTGGTAGTTTTTATATGGAATATTTTGCGAATATAACTTTTATGTTTTTCCCACTTGGGTTTTTTTTATAGCTATGTAATTACCATAGTTAGCATATAACAATGCGTGTCTTGCGTGGTGGGGATAGTGGTAATGTAAATGCGTTATCGCCTGTAGGTAAAGTTTTTTTTTTTTTATTTCGTAACCTCACGCAACTAGGCGTCCATTCACTCGCATTTCTCATTGTGCGAAGGCGTTTCCATTCGAATTTCCACCTCCTCCCTTTTCCCTGTGCAAGTTGTTTTAACTTTATGACGATTGCAAACCGTTCGGCGTTGAGTTTTGGTGGCCTGACACCTTTACTACTCAATAATATCTCCAAGAGATTGTAACATTTTATATGAGTTACAATGCGGCTGTGGGATACCCCTAGCTAAGCCGTGTTACTCCAAACCTCGGTGTGAGAGTTAGTTTTGTTGCCCAGTAAACAAGCTCAGTCAATACAGCACATGTCCCGTTTTCATTATAAAAGAGTACCCGGTGGGAAACAAGTATCTGTGAAAGATGAATTAATCAACATGTTCCTTTTGGGGACTTAGATTTTTTCTTTGTCCCACGCTCGTTTCATGTTGATCAATTAATCTTTCACATTTCATTACCGAGCTTAAAATTCACCATTTTTACTCACCTATAACAGAAATATTATTAGCTAATAAAGTAGTTCGCTTGAAGATATTCGAATCAAAATGCTACTCTGTAAATCCGAGACTCAGAATAAAGTTTAACACATGCGTGTGTGTGTATGCATGTATGTAAGCTAAAAAAAAGGTTACGTGTTTGACACAAAACCCTTTGTGCCTAAGAATATTTTATGACAAATTTTTCCTGTTAGTCACGGAGCCTCCTACGAATAAGGATTTCCTTTCTCCTTGCAGTGACCGCGTCAAATTTCAACTTCTGTAATGTGATGAACCCATTTTACTTGGTCCGCTTCGGTTGTCCGACAGGCCCCTGGGATCTTCAGTGCAATTTTCAACTCCGGGTTAAATGTAGAGGACAGTCAAGTGCTCGTGCCTGGGACTGCAAACCTCACGTAGGACCAACTTGCTGTGACTATGTGTGCCCTTAACAACTTTGCTCTGGACTGCGTCCCATCATCATTTGACTGTGATCATAATTACTGATCATAAAGTAGCCTCTCAATAACTAGAGTAGAAAACGAACTGAACAATCTCGAGAATTTTTTATGTATGAAAGTATTACCATAACCTTTGCAAGTTCTTTGTGTGATTACTTTGTAGAGGGGGCGGGTGGGAAAATCTAAATAAAATCAATGAGAGGGAAAAATTTGTATTCTATTTCACAACATTCCCATTCATACTCAGTTGAAATAAGATATGGGAATAATGATTGACCAGCGCACCCTCGTTTATCTGTATCACCTTTCAAGGGTAACATTTCCCTATGCGATGGACACACTTAGTTTTTGGAACACCCCATGCTTATTCTCCCACTCTCCCCAAACTCTAAAATCTAAGAGGCTTAAGCTGCCACATGTCAGACTCCCGCCTTTTCAAAAATGTTCAACCTTTCTGCTGAGATTATGTGCTGTTATCTCATTGGCGACTTTAGCGCGGTTTCCGTAATAATCAAACTCATGCTACTAGTCGAGGTTTCCCTGCTCAACTTGCAGAGAGATTTGATCTCGCAGTCAAATACGTTACTCTTCTTCCGTGCCTATGGTATTTTAACTTAAGGCTGAGCGCAGGTCCGAAGAGGTTCCACAACATTTAATCTATATAATGCAAAAAGTCGTAATAAGCAAGATCACAGTTCAATTGACTTATCATTCCTTTATGACTTTGGCATCCTTTGCACTTGTTTTTGTTTTTGTTGTTGTTTTTCTTGTTTTCCATTTTTTCCGTCACCGAACCTGTCACATGCATTGCACCTTATAGCGTAAGCACCCAAAGTGTTCATTCCTCTCCCTGTGGGGCAGTTAGGTGTTACTGTGCCGGTGGGAAACCGGCAGGCGGCTACGATCCTTGGCAACTTTTCGCATCAAGAATTATAACCAATCATCAAACAAGGGTTGTGGAAGTGTGGTTTTGGTACGTCATAGTTTTTCCGCACTGTTTGATGGACTAATCAAGAGTGATTGCTCTCCTCATGTCGCTAGCCGTGTCTTTACAGAGTCTCAAGGACCTCAAGCCGGAATTTCCAATACTTCGTACTATCAGCAGCGCGTCGTGTACACCAGGATACGTTTGACGACTGACTTCACTGATCCTTTGGAAACAGATTCCTCCGACACCTTTTGTGTCAACAATTCCTTCCCTCTTTTCTTTAGTAAAAAACACTTAGTCTTACATATGCAGTTCTCAATTCATATAGCATACACATGTAAAATGCCGAGTAGAGTGCTATGCCGAGAGGAATATGATGCATATATCATGTTAGAAAACAGCCCTAAGAAAATACGCGCACTGATTGGTTAAAATCGTGTTTCTATTAAACAATTAGATTATGAGCTCAAGATTTTTATTGCGCGATAGTTGACGAGGGCGCAGCCCTCGTCGACTATCGCGCATAGAAATCGAGAGCGAAAAATCTAATTGTTTTAGTATGAATCTACTAGTCGTTCAAGACTTTATCTAAATACTCTTCACAGACATCTCGAAAACGCAAAAAAGCGGCCGTCATTCTGTTAACAAACGCACACTGCTACGCTACTCACTATCTATCACAGAATAGATAGTGAATTTATCTCGAATTTAACAAACCCAATAAACAAAATGTGTATGAGATTAATTTATTTGAAAAATTCAACTTTTCTCCGTCTCAAAATAATTGTTGACACACTGATTGATGTCAGGAATGACACATCAAAACATCACTTCTTAAAATCAGTTAAAATAGACACTTAACCTTGCTTTCCGATGCGAATGTTCTAGTCCGTTTCAGGGCACAGCAGCGAGCAAAATATAGCTCAGTACAGCTCACGGCCGACTCTATCGCAGCTAAAAGGTATCTCCGACACTATTTCAAACGGATTAGAGAATCGCCAACCGCAAAGGACACAAATTTCCACTGTCAACAACGTTCCTTTCATTCAAAACTCGAATCGAATGGCCTCCAGGTTGACCACCACCGCAAGTTATCCGAGCGTATTTTTTCAACTCCTGCAATAT